GCAGACATCTGTCTGTGGACGTGGGGTTGTGGTCACTCTCTCTAGCTCCAGAGACAAGGACAAATGACCAGAGGTGAAAGTGATAAGGGGAGCACATTTCAAATTACCCTGATATGGAAGAACATTGAAATTATTAAGCAGTGGTAGCAGTTGCTTCATAAACCCCCTCTTTTCAGGGATATTGTAAAACATTATGTTAGGAATGTGGAAATAGGGATTTTTCAGTTGGTTGAGAAGTTGGTTTTAGTGAACATTTCTGGGAATGTTTAACAGTTCTGGATATCCACCTGAAGTTTAATCCTCACATCTCTAATTATGCTTATCATGGTGTCTATGTCATTGAACTTCACCCTCTTAGGTGGGGGAAGACAGTTCACTGATGTCAGAAATTAGCCATGAAGGTAAAGTGGACAGATAATCCACTGCCCACACTTCTAGGCACATAGAACACTCTACTGTGTGTGACTGTTAAGTGAACATATGAGCACAAGTTAGGCTACCAGTTAGGACTAAAGAGTGAGGACTCTGGGAGAGCTGCCCCAGTTCACAACTATGGGCAGGACCGATATGGACCCTCAGGGAAAGGAGGTGCTGGGACTAAGAGCTGTGGGGTGCTGAGTACCAGCGCACAGTCCTAGTCACGGCTCCTGCCATCTGGAAGCTCCCCACTGAGAAAAGATGCTCCTCCCTTGGACTTCCATCGCAGTATGTTTGCAAGTTTCACTTAAAGGACCAGAGACTCAAAAGTGCGAGTGGACGTGTGGGAAAGACCTATCGAGTGGGAAAGGGGTTACACTTACTCTGCCCAGTTCCAGAGAAAGGACAATGACCCAAGGTGGGATGGACATTTCAAGGGGACCGGGTTTCAGTGTCATCACTAGGAGGGAGAACTTTAAAGCTATTGAACAATGGAAGCAGCCGCTTCACAAAACTTAATGGTTTGTAGAGATGTTTAAAGACAGGTTGTCACTTCATGGAAGAGGGTTCATCATTTGTTCAGCATTGAGGTGAGAATTTAGATTAAATGAATCCTTACATTGAGTAGGAAGTTGGATAACATGTATTTTCCTGAGACTTCAAGAACTGCAATATACTTTGTTGCTTCATTCAACATGACCCAGATAAGAAAAGTCTCCCAGTCCACACGTATCTAAGGATCCTCACTCTATTGTCTGTACCCGAAGGCACTGTCCATACTATTGCATCGGCTGAGAGCAGGGACTATGTGTTTTATTTACGTCTGAGTCTCCAGAGCATAAGACACTGCCTTCTATAGAGTAGTGTGCAATACATGTTTGTTGAGTGAATATCAAATTAATTTTGTTGATTTTAGGATTTGCACATGGACTGAATTCCTTTTGTGTACTAAGTATGCCTACTTGGAATAAATGTCACTAGCTATTATTTCTCAAGCTCCATTTGATTGTCCAGGTGCTAGGCCTGATACCTTACACGCATTGTCTCATTCAAACCCAACAGACAAATCCATTAAAAAGATCAAGCAGATGTGCTCATCACACTGTTTTTACAAATGAAGAAACTAAGGCACATAGAGATTAAATCGCTCCCCCATGGTTCCAGAGAGAGTAATTAGATGGCGCAGGATTGAAATTTAGGTTGTAGGATGTCAAAGCCAGCACAGTTCATCAGCGCACTAGACTTGAGTGAGGGAGTGATCATTAACAACCATTAATAGGGCCGTATGTGTTTAAAACTTGGCTGATAATTATTGAGTGCTTTCAACACACCGGCCCTAAGTATCTGCTCACTTAATCCTCTTAGCAGCCTCATAATGTAGGTACTAATATTGTGCTCATTGTATAGACAAGGCACAGGGTGCAGAATTTTTGGATCTAGGTTTATCAAACCCTAAAGCTTATCCTCTCAAGATTGTGTGGTCTTATTTCTTCTTTTGTGATACTGGAAGGAAAAATAATAGATCCCCTTCCATGAAGTGTATGTGTTGTTCTAAGAAAACTGTAGTTGGTTTGACCTCAAACTTGATCTCAACTCACCACATGCTTTGTTAGGATAGTAGTATTTCAAAATGTCCTTCCTGTTTGCACACTGGCCACCGCGTAGGTAAAGGTTTAGAGGCAGCTTAGAAGGTGGCAAAGAAACTCATCATAAAGGTAGTGATAGTAGAAAAAACTGAGAATTCAGCATCAGGTAGAGATGATTGCAGGGCTGGTTCACCATTTTACTGGCTATGGGATCTTGGAGACACTTAACCTCTCCATACCTTAGTTTCATCTTCTGTAAAGTGAGGATGATAATTATGTCTACTTCGTAGTGTTGCTATAAAGGTTAAAGGCTAACACCCGTGAAGCACTGGATTCCGTGCCTGACTCATGCTGCTGTTGCCTCTCCTCCCCAATCCTCAGCCTCCTGTCTTCCTTCTTTTCCCTTCCATGTCGCTCTTTCTGTGCCTCTTCATTCTCCCCTTTCTTCTTCTCCGTCATCTAATTGTTATTCACAGATTTTTAATGGGGATTAAATTCGTGCATATGGGATATAATTTGGTCCTTTTTTCATATTTTCACCTAATCAAAACCAGTCATATTCCAAAAATAACTCTAGACCTTGTAGTTGGGTTGAAACCAAAAGTTGTGAACCGTGTTCTCATTAAAGCAAGTGTGGCTTTATGGAAGGAGGCATAGCTGTCTCTCCCTTCCTCCTTTTGAGACCAAATGCCCTCCTGCTGGGAGAAAGGGACAGGGCTGACATGTGCAGGAGTGTAACACGTCTGCCTGAGACCGCAGCTCAGAGGGGGACGTTCTCAGGAGCAGCCAGGGTGTGAGACTCGGCAGGGGACCAGGAGGAAGCCCAGAACTCACCGCACTAACCTGGATGTCACCCGGCAAGCCAGACACTCGTTAAGGAAAAAGTCCCTCTCCCCTTGCCTGGGGATCCCTCCTGGATGCTTTTAGGTTGAGATCTTCAAACTGTCCTTTAGAGACGCTGAGCAGAAAGAAGATTTGCCATTTCATTTCTGGGCCATTGTTTCTCTCTCCGTGAGGCCCAGCGCTGCCTCCTCCTGGGGTGTTGTGGGGAAGATTAATGAGCTAATATTGGTAAAGGGCCTTTGATGATGACTGCTAAGTGTCTGCACCATGTAATTGCTATTTTCCCCAAGAAAATGTTCATATTGTTACTAATTAGGCATTGTCGAAGCACCTCATGCCCCATTATTTTACAGTTGTCATGCAATTAACTGGCATCAGGACCATTTCAAGTGACATTTATTGCCCATTTCCCTGGTTTAATTTTTGGAAATTTTATGGGAAGCCTGGGCATTGTTTCTTATTCACTGTAACTTAAATAATTAACGTAAATATGGCTTTGGGTGGTGATATTGTCAACTGAGGGTTTTTTAGAGGTTTTAATTAAGAAAACTGAACTTTATGTAGGAAAGCTTTTTATAGTGCCTGAGCCCTTAGGCACGTCCTCCCTGTGCGTCTGTGGCTCATACCTGGGTGTCTGCATGTGTGAAGGCATGTGTGTGTGTGGTTAACATGTGTGCATGTGCAAATGGATGAGTTTTGGAACCAATAGTGTCATATGAGATACTGGGACAAGAGCAAAGTCCTTCTTTGGCTTCACCTTCTCTAAGGCACGGACTAGAGATGCTGATTAATTAACTTTGCTCCATATTCTTACTACAACCTAGAGATTTGCATTGGCTTAGATCAAGCATCATTTGTTAAATGTCTACTGTGTCTTCCAGTATTGGACTAGATGCAATTTAAGCTTTGTAACAAGTCAATGAGGTTTCTCCCATTGATGAAATGAAGGTTCAGAGAGGTTAAGTAAGGTGTCCAGTGTCACACAGCTAGTAATAGATGAAGACAGGATTAAACCCAAGTCTGCCAGACTCTGGAGCTGAGGCTCCTTCCACTCTCTCGCAAGAACAGAATTGCTGAGCTTTCTCTCTGGCAGTGAGTCTGGGCACTCCAAAGGCCAACTCATGCCTTCTCCAGAGCCTTGCAGGATGCCCTGTCTCAGTGCACCTTCTCTCCTGGATCTGTTTTTACTTTCTATCCTTCTCATAGTCTGACTTTTATTTTAGCCGTGTACCAGCTGGGAGGACAATATAATATGACGGTTAGGAAAGCCCTGGCTTTGGAGACACCTGGAAGGTCTTCTCACTCTGCCTCTTCCCCTCTGGGTCATCTTAGACTAGGGGCAGCACCTAAGCTTCGTATTGTCAGTGTGAAGATGAAAGGAGAGTGAGTATGAAGAGTGCGTAGAAGGCCTCATGGCACAGAGAAAGCACCCAATCCCCAGTGGTTGGATGGATGGGTGTATTGGGGCTCAAGGTCACCTCCAAATAGGCCACAGTGGCGTGTTGATTACTTTGAATGGAAGTTGATCGAGAAACAGCCTCTGTCTCCCTGAAAGGCAGGAAATACACCTCTCACATGACAGGTGCACTCCCTGCATCTGGAGGAAGGAGGACACCCTTATCGGCAGGGACAGAGTTCGGAGCCGAGCAGCCTGTATAAACAAGCCTCGTCCCTTCTTTAATTTACTCCCCCAAGCCCAAACTCTGTTTAGAGTCTTCCCTAATCCAGCACCCAAAACCTAAGTTTCTTTGTTCTGTCAGTTCCTCACAGACTTATTGTTTCTTTGTCTAAAAATGATAAAAGCTGCCTGCTTGGACCACGTCTTAGGTCCATTTCTATGGAAGCGCCACGCATGTGAACTAAAGTTTGTTGCTTTTCTCCTGCTCATCCGTATTGTGTCAGTTTTATTACTGGTCCTGCCACAAGAACTCAGGAAGGCTAGAACGGGAAATTCCCTCTTCCCCAATGGATGTATGGATATATGGATTTTCTTTAAAAGTACGAATAAATGAAACCCCCATGAGGCTTCTTCCTGTGGCAGGGCTGGTCCAGGCATCCACTCTGTCCCCCTCTCTGACCCTGTCTGTGGGAAAAGGCAGGGCTGAACTCTGACCACCTCTCTCCCCACCTTTTTAAAAAAATACTTGCTCTTACCTGCCTGGGTGTCCTCAGGGTCTGTGTGCCTCCAACAGGCACAGACGATTCCCACGGTTCCTTCTAACTGAAGTGAGAACAGGCTGGCAGGGCACTTGGTTAAAATAACCATTCCACACGGTGGGGGAGAAAGGTATCACTCAGAATGAATGGCTGAGTTAGGATTAAATTGTCACTCTGGGGCATATACCAAAGGGTGGGTGGTGCTGGAAACATCACCTCTGTTACCTTAGCATCCACTGACATCACAGTTCCCTCCCGTACAGTGGCATAAACAGAGGCTCACGGCGATGGTGCAACTTGCTGGAGGTGACCCGACTACAAAGCCTCGGCTGAGTCCAGACATCTAGTTTCACACAGATTAGAGGCTGCCTGGGCCTCAGAGATGGCAAGTTAGTGCTTACCTCGTGGATGATGCCACTGGGTGGTGTCTGAGTCCCTGCCGGCGGCAGTGAGGTTCCTGGTCTGGGTGGCTTGGTGAGGGCCTCTACTGGCTGAATTTTGTCTGCTGGTGTGAATGCAGTGGGGCTGGAGCTGGGGAGGAAGGATCTGGGTTCTGTTATTTGTTTACTCCCTCACTGGGTGCATCGGGTGTTCCTTGTTTCCTGCCTCTGCTCTGTGAACGTCCTTCAGCGGCTTCCTAGCGCCTGTGCGCAAAGAGCACGATGCTCTCAGGTGCTGTACCGCCTGCCTCCGCCTCCTGCCACAGCCTCCCGTCACCCCCTCCCTGCTCCCTGTCTTGGGGCTGGGCACATCCGGCAGCTTCCGAGTCTGCTGCCTCTTGTCTTTGCAAGTGCTGCTGCTTCTGCCTAGAACTTTCTCCTCATCGCTCTTGTGTCACCTGACTAAAGCCTTTTCATCCTTTGCCTCGTGGCCCGAGCTTCTCCTTCTCAAGGGGGGCTACTCCTGCTGCAGGACCGGCTCAGCTTCCTCGTGTGAATCACTCACCTGAACCCGTCTTTCTCTCCTTCCGAGTGCCTCACCCGCTTTGAGGCTGTACCATCTCTGAAGGCTCTGTTGATTGATTGGTGTTCATTTCTCCTTTTAGATTGTGAGCTCTGAAAGAGCCAGGACAATATAGCGTGGCTGGCACGGAACTTAGATGTCTTCTAGTTACAGATACCTACTAGGTAGATATTCTCTAAATCCTATTCTGTCTCTAATCTATGAAACTAGCATTTAGTAGATAGATGCTAAATAAATATTTATGATGCACTTCCCCCTTCCATTCCTTCAGAGTGCTAACCTAGTTTATATCTATGCATTCCTTAATGGCTCAGATAACTAACAAATACACAGAGGAAGGAAGGGATGGGAATAACTGGTACTTACATTACACATAACTGTTTGCAAGGCTTGAGCTTCACTGAGCGTCATTATTTTTTTGCAAGGTTTCAACTCCTGGAAGAGAATTCAAGGGCTGGTCTGCCTAACTAATCAGGAGCTCGTGTCCATAGTAAAAGCAATTCTTTGTGGGGTGTGTGTGTGTGTGTGTGTGTGCTGGGGGTCAAAGCATGAGCTTTGGAACCAGCCAGCCTGCACCTAAAGCCTGACCCCACCCCTTATTAGCTCTGTGAATTTCAATGAGTTTCTTTGACTCAGTTTTGCCATCTGTAAAATGGGGGTAATAATACTACTTATGTGGGAGGGTTGTTGTGAAGATTAAAGAATTTAATATTTATTCCACAAAGTGTTTAGAACAGTTCCTGACATGTAGTTCATGCTATATAGGTACTTACTATTATTTTATTTAGGAAATAGATCATGTTATATGTTTTCAGATGCCAGCCCCTATAACTACTTTTTCCCTAAGTCTCCTACCATTTCTCTAATAGGTCTGGCTTCTTCTGCCTCCCTCTGACCTGAGTTGCTAAAAAATATGACCCTTTGTTGCATCTACTTGGATTAGGACAATATTTTTTTTTAAATTCTGTGATTTCCATTGAAAAGGAAATTTCCTTTAATTTCAAAATTCAAATTTCCATTTCAAATTCCATTTTAATTTCTATGTGATTTCCATTGAAATTTCTCCACTGGGGCGAAAACAGTTGATGGTCTCAATTATACTCAATTCTGTTCCAGGAGAATTTGGTTCAACAGGTTCAATCAACCAGAAGGAGCAGTGCTGGGGAGGCGAGAGCGCTTGAGGAAGGTGACTTTCCCAGCGTGGATAAACACAGTTCAGCTCCACTGTGCCGCCTGGAGCTGCAAGTTCCAATGTTAGTTTTTGTGCCCGTTAACTCTCCCCTTTCTCACCTCTCAGTGGACTCCTTGGCTGATAATAAAGAAAAAAGAAATGTTAGTGAAATGCCTTGGTAAGATGAGCTGCCAGGATAATTAAAAAACAGAACTAGTTTTTATCAGGGTTCATTAAAGGCATAGAGGTTTGAAACAAAGTCTAGTTTGGAAATTCTGTGAAAAACAAATGATTGGGCAGGTAATATGGATGATTCATAGAAGGCACTGAGGATTGGAGTGAGCTGAGAAATCTTTTTCCAGAAGGACTGTGTTGTCAAGGAAAGTTTTCCAACGTCTGGATACTTATCACAGTCTTAAAATATCTTGATGCTTAAACCCCATGATTGTGTTTATACATAAAGGTTTGGAAGGCTCTTTGGGTTTTGAATTGTGGTAGGCAGAGCTGTCTAATCTCATACTCTGTCTTCTCACTGAACGTATAGTCCACCATCCCTGTGCTCTGCTCTCATCTTCCCAACTGAGAAACGTATCTGCTTTCTACAGCCCCATCTTCCACTTCTGTTGTTGCCTCCTCATTAGTGATGCAGCCAGTAATGGCACTGGCTCCAAGTTTCAGGCCAGCATGGCTCTCTATGCCCAGGTCATAAGTGAATGAGGAACAACAGACCAGGAAGGGCATCTAAACACAAACATAGCTATAACTGAATTGTACCTTGGAACGAAATAGTTGCAAATACAGTTCTGTATGCTATTGCTTTGAGGCCAGACCTGAGCATCTTTCCTCCAGCGAGGTCCGCAGGGACAGTACGTGGGAAATTTAAAGAAGAATTAAAGAAAAGCTGTCCCTGTTTTTAGCTGTAGGGATCACGTTCTAATTGTATCCTTTTACTTTCTCATATATTATACACCCCTCTTTTTCTTGGAAAATGACACTGAGGCAGTTGATTTTGTTTTCATCATCAAGGTGAGCCTGTCTATATGGTTTTCAAGGCGGGTAAATAAACCAGGTAGAAAGACTAAAAGGCAGCCCTGCAGTTGTGAGTAGGGGGAGAACCGTGCACACTTCCGGATGTTGTGTTCTCCACACAGAAGCTACACACTAGAGCTGGACTTACTGCTTCAGCCTCCGTATCTCTCTGGGAACACTCTTTATCCTTGTTTGAAAACACAGACTGAGAAATGAAACTTAAGCTCCTTTTACAAAACCCTGTTTAATCAGGCCTCTTGCTTATCTGCAAGGCATAAGCCAGCCTCCCCAGAGCTGAAGCTTACTTTGTTTGCCGGGCAATAGAAAGGTTTACCCTCCCACTTCCCACTTCCCAGGGACGTGGTCCAGGAACTGAAACACACTGGATCTTAAATGATGGATAGAATAAATGTTATTGCCAGAAAGAGCTTCTCTATCCCAATGTTAAATAACTATTCACTTCATATTTTTCTTTAGCTACTTTTATTAAAAAAAATTTTTTTTGAAACTTTTCTTGAATGAAATGAGGTTCTAACTCTTATTCTTTGCAATCCATCAATGGATCCATGAATAGTACTGAATACTTCACTGCACTGGTGGGACATTTTTTGGGGGGATGTTAACACCTTTATGTACACTTGAGACTGGACTTGGACTTTCCAGTCTGCTCCAGCATTTGTCTGTTAGCCCCAGTACCTGCACCACAGTTTTAATACTTTTAAGTCCAGGTTCTTAACCTCAGCACTGTTGGCATACTGGGCTGGAGAATTCTTTGTTGTTGAGAGAAGTCTTGTGCATCAAGGCTGTTGAGCAGCATTCTTGTTCTTTTACCCCCTGGATGTCAGTAGCACATCCCCACCTTCATCCCAACTCAGTGGTAACAGGCAAAAATGTCTCAAAGGCATTATCAGATAGCCTCTTGGCGGCAAAAATTGCCCCCAGTTAAGAGATACTGTTTTAGCTTAATAATACACTTTTTATCAGATGGGACAACCAACCCTTCTTCTTCCTGTTTTTCCCCCCAGATATATCTCATATCTCAGTCATCCACATACATTTATATTCTACTTAAATTTTGGATTCATTCTGCAAATATACTTAATTTATGTATTAATTTGGGGGAAATGGCATGCATAAATATTAATTATCCAATACAAACCTCTTTCCATTTATACCACTTTTTACATTCCAAATTGCAGTTGGTTATACATTTATTATTAAAAATATTTTCAGATCGTCCTCTTGCTTAATTCACGTTATCACCCATGGGGTGTGTATGTGTGTGTGTGTGTGTGTATATATATATATCATATATATATATGATTATTTACATATCATAGATGAGACCGGGATGTTGAGTGGGAGAAGGCAGAACCCAAGGCTGTCAACCTGGATTCCAGGGCCTTTTCTTTCACCCTCTGCCTCACTTGAAGATCTAACATCAGAGAACAAGACAGGGATGATACCAAAGGTCATGTGAGGCATTTGCTACTTTTAAAAGAAGGGTTGAAAACAAAACTCTTATTTTTCAACATGAGGGAAGGTTTCCCCCATGTCCTAGCTTTCGTGCTTTCCCTCCTGGGCCAAAAATCCCATAAATTTTCTTCAACTGATTTCCAGTTCGATTTTGCAAATTCAAGCGATATGTGCAGTTTGAATAAATTTAAAGATTGCCCCTTTATTAGCGATGCTTGGGGGAAATTCTGAGGCATTGGTATCTCATTCATTTCAATAGGGCTCTGGTACTTTCTGTTTAAAGGAGCAGCAGTGAATAACAAGATGAATTATGTGGTCACAGACTGAAACTCACCATGATGGTAAGATGTTTGACTCTCCCCTCTCTCCCTCTCTCTGCCTCGATCCTTAGGAGTGGAGGAGTAATTTGGAATATAAAATCACTGCACCCTTAGGTCTTTTTTGACAAAAATCCACTCC